GGAATGAGTGGAGTATGAGTTGCCAGTGTTTACAAAGTTTGTGAATTTCTTTTAAAATGTAAAATGTGGAAATGTTTGTTTTGAATTTTTAGTTACAGTTGACTAATAAGCTGTGATCAATAGCTGGGTCAGCCAGACTTGTGGCTGATGTCATGGCGAGATTGGACATGAGGAGTGGGTCTCTGTGCTCCCACACCAAGTTCTCCCCATTGGAGGGCTCTGAAAGGAACTAAAGTCACCCTGTAGGGGTGGTAAAGTAAAGAGGGACACTCTGTAGGTCGCAGAGAACTGCAACTCTTCCGCTTGACTCAGGGCTTCTTCTCTCTCATTCACGATGAGGAGAAGAGGCAGCCAACAACCGAGGCAACAAAGAATGTGTAGGAACGGTATAGATAATAAAATGGATAACAAAAACAAGGATAATAAAAACAAGGATAAATAGGCTGAAAAACAGCTTCTATCCCAGGGCAGTAACTTTACTGAATTCTACTGTATAGTGCAATATTAATGCAATATCGGGTTTTCAATTCAATGTATAGAATGTGAAGGATGTGTGTTTGTGTTTACTTTCATAGTCATAATGTACACTGAAGATAGTATTTAACTTGGTTGCATGAGGTACAATGACAATAAACTAAACTAAACTAAACTAAACTAAACTAGATGAACAGTGACTGGAGCCGGGTGACATTATTCCTTTTTTTATTTAAAAACCAACTCTAAAAGGAAAGAAAAAAAAGAAAATCCCTTATACCATAAAAAAGGCATGATCGAATAAAAGTATAGTCAAACTTTTTTTTTTAATAATGATATGATGATTTATAAGTTTGTATTGACAATAAGAGTTATTATATAAGGTAATTGTAATTGTGACTATGAAGTGAACGCACAAAACTGATGAACCAACCGACTCACTGTTTGTATATAAATATGGGGGAGCTGATGTTTTTATGTTTTGTCTGTTTGTTTGTATGTTAAAAAACAATAAAAACTTTTATATATATATAAAAAAAGAAAATCCAGGAAAAGAGACTCGTAGAATTATTTGTTAAAGTGACGAATAACTATACAGAGAAAAATCCTAGACCCGAAAGAAAGGAACCAAGGGGAGAAAAGTTAAACCTTTTTAAAACATTGAAAATTGGACTTTCAAACTGGATAGGTGTTGTTTTGGAAAGGCATTATAAAATGCTGGAACTACCTACTTGAATAACCAACTTTGCTTCCATAAATTGAATTAAAATTCAATTAAATAACTTGTTATATTTGAAACAATGCTGAAACTGAAGCTGAGGGCACCACCTACTGATGAATGGAAAATATACCATACCCCTACGAATCTGGGAAAATTTCTGATAAGAGAAATAAACAATATTCATCTGGAGGACTACAGTGATACCTTCTGTTCTATAATTATCTACTTTATGATTATTGGAGACTCAAGTGTGAGAATAAGGAAGACTCTTAAGTAAAGTAAAGTGACTTTTGACTTTGGGGAAGCTTCCTGGACTACCTAAATGGAACTGATTGAATAATCCTGGGATATGAAGAATTATTACTATTGTACTCTTGGAGGAGCAATATTAGGCTTGAATATATTGGCTTTGGACTATTGAGTAAGAGCGGGACTTACTAAAATAAGACAAAATACTCCACCAGGGGAAAATGAGTGACATTTCAAAAGAAATGGTGTTGATGTTCCAAAGCATTAAGGATACTATGACAAAGAATCACAGGGAGATCACAGGGAGATCAAGAACCTGGAAGGCATAAATGGGAAAATAGAAAATACCCTACAACTGATAATGAATCAAAATCAAAAAGTCCAGGAAAGACAGGAGATAACAGAAAGAATGGAGGAAAAGATAGAACAGACAAATCAGCAAATAAAGCAAGAAGATGAGAAGGAAAAGACAATGAAGATAATAATGACTGATGAAATAAACCAAGGGGAAAGTAGTTTAAGAGAATTAAAAATGGAATCAGATAAGTATCAGGTAGATACTTTCAAAAGAGAGATAGGGGCTTGGATAGACACTCTATAGGCCTGGCAGCATAGGAGGATAGAGATGGAAGAAATAGTTAGACTAAATAGTGAAGACACAGATGTTGATAGAGACAAAGAACCAAGAGAGGAGTAGGGGAGGCAAGCTAAAAAATGAATAAGAATTGAAGTATCAAAATGGGGAAAAAAAACCTATGGGTAGAAAGGAAATAGAGTTGCCAATGCTTACAAAGTTTGTGAATTTCCTTTAAAATGTAAAAAGTAGAAATGTTTGTTTTGTATTTTTAGTTACATCTGACCAATAAGTGCTATCAGTTCTAGCTGTGATCAATAGCTGGGTCAGCCTGTGGAAACTGTCTATATTGAGCAGTTAGACTGGAGCCACACTTTATTAATAAATGTTATAGAAACAAATCACAAAGCCCTGATTGTAAAGTTCCTTCCCTTTCTCTGTAACACAGGGAATTAAGGCAGAGCCAATTTGAGGATTTTTGTTGTTGTTATTGTTCCTTATTTTCTGGGCTTAAAGTCTGTAGAGATTTCCCAAGGTTTCCCAAGGTTATCTCTGTGCTTTCTACACACACTGCCTACATAGAATAAAGTGAATAAAGTATGAATCTGATATATGTAAATCCCAGGTTGTATTCCTGGTATATTCAGGTAAGATTAAGGAGGACTTCTACCTGAAACTTTATGAATCCATTGCTAGTCCATATGGAAATCAGCTCTATAGACCAATGTAAAATGAATTGTACCTTTTTATGGCTGTAACTTGTAAAATAAGGGCTCTGGTTTTATAATTTGAGGAACAATCCCTCAGAAATTAAGTAATAGTACGTGAATATTATGTGAATACGAAGCAGGAGCCAAGTAAATGTCTCTACTCAATGTAGATTATGTATACTTATAAGTCTCAACATAAAAAGAAAAGCTTTAGGTATAAATTCAGCTCATGGCATATAGGAAACACTAATATAAGCCACTTCTTGCTCTATGTCTTTATGTTAGAGAAAGAAAGCTCTATAATGCAGTAACATGATATTGTATTTCTTTCCTTTTAATCAGAGTTATGATTTATTATTAAATCACAGATCAACTAACTGATCTATATATTCTCCAATACTTGGACATACTTGTGCAAATATATCTCTTTTCTGTTCTGTTTTCCAAGAATCACTTTTACATATAATTTCTTTCAGGTAACAAACATTGGCCAGAATATACACAAGGCTATTCAATATGAGGAAATAGTCTATAATAATATTTAACTACTCTGTTAAAGAGTGCAATGTTTTTTTCTAGTTTACAGTACAAAAATCTTTCAGAAAAAATAGGTGTTTAATTTAAGATCATAGTTCTGCTTCCATAAGCATGCTCTGCAGAATGTAAATTGGTTGTGCTTTAATGCTTTTACAGTTAGTATAGCAGGTGAAGAATTAAATATTAAATATGGTGCCTGCTTTTTTATGGTATATAGAAAGATATGCAAGTATTTCTACTAAAACTCCAATTTTAAATTCTGAATATTATACTTTCCTGACAGATTTGTTCCTGAAAAGAAAAATTAATTGTACTAGATCAAAAATGGAATAATGAATCTAGAGAAAACAGGGTGATTTTACAGAAGCTCGTTTGATATATATGTCAGGTTCCTTGATTTTTAGAAATTTCATGAATCATTAATTAATCTGTTCACTTCTAAGGCACAATTTACACAATTATTGTGCATTCTCCAATTTATACAATTATTGTGCATTATTCTTTTTGCAATTAAAAAAACCTTACTGATTTTTTAAATCTCTGATTTATTTATGAATTTATACATTCATATATTAATGCTTTTCTATTGAGCATATCAATATTCACATTTTAATACTTTTCTATTAAGATCTGTATAAATAAAATGAATAAATGAAGTTCCGGATAAAGAAGAAAACACTAGAACAACATATGTACAACTAAGCATTGTAGTTTAATTCTAAACTTGTGGAATTATTCCAATGAATACACACTAAGTCTTGTTGCTCCATCAAATAGTACAACTGCAAAACTATCCATAATTCTGCAGTTTTTAATAAAAAAGATAGTCGCTCATTCAATCACATAGCTAGCATTTATCCATAAAAGTATCTCAAAAATATATATTTAGAAATTCTGGTACTTGCATCCAAAACTTTAGCTTGCATATGTTCTGTAGAACACCACATGACTTTCTGCCTTCGAGATTCTAGAGATTGTTCTTTAAAAATGATATGTGGTTCCAACTAAACCTTAAGTGATATGTGCTACAAACTAAACATATTTAAAAAGAGTATTGTAATTTTTGTATTCTCTTGGGTTGAGATACCTCATATGTTGTGTCGGCAGCCTGTGTAGATGGCAGTGGAATTGGACAGTGGAGAAGAACGGGGACCGGTCTGGGAGTCTGTGGAGGACACGGACGAGGGTCTGCGTCTGAGGCAGAGATGGGGCTAGGACCATCTGGGAGTTGTGTGCTGACTCTGGAGCTTCCAGCGTCTGGCAGCAGCAAGGCAGAGAAACAAGGGGAGCCTGTTCCAGTGTGCATGTGCACAGAGCTGCTAGAAGGCAAGAGCAGCTAAGACAAAAGGGGCAACTTGGGAGCAAGGCTTGGAAGTGATTGCCCCTCCCCTAAAGTATAAAGGAAGTGCAAAGGTACAGAAACCTTTGCAGGAAGCAAAGTCGTTCACTCTGTTCGGTTTAAATATTGAAGCTCTGTGTGGACTTTGTACTTCATTTGGCTTTTTCAGTTAATTTGGCACTTTAATTGCTGGCAGCAATTGAAAGAAGATAAGGTGAGTGCTTATCTCGAGGGATTGTTTCGGATTCATTTTGGGCTGGGAATGAGCATAATTCCCAGCATTGAAATAAAACAAGAGTTGTTTGGACTAAGCATGTGTTTAATTACAGTCTCAGGAAGTCTTGGTCAGAACATCATATAAGAAGACAATGAAAGAAGAGATAATGGGATACTTACTGCAAAAAAGATTTGTAGAGAACTGTGAGCCACTTCTATATATTGATATTCAAGAACACACCCTGACACAGTGATGTAGCGATGGTCTTCTGGGGCCCAATCTGGGGCTGGAGTCACAGATGTCACTGTGCAGCCTGGGCCATTTTCCATCCACCAAGACCGGTGCATTGAAATATTGAAGGTCAGAATAAGATCTGTTTCCTGTCAAAGGGAAAAATCAGTAAACCATCAGTTGAAGTTTAGTTTGAAAGATGGCTTTACTGTAAAAAAAACCACACACCTTAAAATATCTCCACTCAGTTTTAAAATTAAAATTTGCAACTAGACTTGTAATTTGTGACACAACATTTCAATTTTTATGGTATCATTCAGCTTCCATAAAAAAAGAGAGAGTTGATTCTGTCTCCTGTATATCCAGTGACAAAAAAGACTGGCAACAGAAGGCCACAATCCGCTTAAAGAAGCAACCTGTGAAAAGGAATCCAAGTGTTCAGTCAAGCAAGAAAATTAAACCTTTTGTGTGAAATGGCTGCTCAAAATCCAATCATCCCCACAGATTGTTTTTACAGTTCCATTAATTTTTATTATCAATATTGAGCTACCTAATGAAGATTTTGAAACAAAAGGAAGAGAATGTCAGAAAAATAGCAAGGGGGAAGTCACTGAAAACAAAGGTAACCGTTGATGGTCATCTCAGGTTTGTCAAACTTTGGGAGGAATGTTCAGTGGGCAGATGAGTCAAAAGTGAAATAGTGGGACTTCGTAAACATGATGTCTGAGGGAAGAAAACCATTATATTTCACAATAAGAACTTCATATTAACCGTTGAATATGAAGGTGGTAACGTCATGGTTTGGGGATACAGATAGCCTTCAACTTACAAACACAATTGAGCATTTCTGTTGCTGATGAGACACTTGTTAAGTGAATTTGCCCATTTTATGACCTTTCTTGCCACAGTTGATAAGTGATTCACTGTAACTGTTAAGTTAATAACACGGTTGTTAAATGAATCTGGCTTCCCCACTGACTTTGCTTCTCAGAAGGTTGCAAAAGACGAATTTGTGGCCCAGGGACACTGCAATCATCATAAATATGAGTCCGTTGACATGGTTCTGAATTTTGATCACGTGACTGTGGGGATGATGCTATGGTTGTATATGAAAAATGGTCATCGGTCAATTTTTTTTAGTGCCGTTGTAACTTTGAACGGTCACTAAATAAACTGCTGTGAGTTGAGAACTACCTGTATGCTGTGGCCTCAGTATTGGGTTACTTACCATCACTGAAATAAGCAGAAATTTTTGCTTTAAATAAGGCCATCCGTCCCTTAGCACAAAACATTGTATGTATTCTATGTTTTAGACTGGCCAAATAAATGTTAAGACTGAAATTGCATAGACATGTTGTGGCACTATGTGATTTCACCAGGAAACCCTCTGATATTCCTGAAGTCAGCATGAAGGAATGAGCCAAAATGCCTACACAGGAACATAGGAGGTTGCAATGGAGGAAGCATTTGGTTGCAGTTATTGCTACTGATATTACTGAAAGGAATAGTTCCTTTTTTACATTCGTGCCTCATACTCACTGGATTGTTTTGCTTATGAAATAAATGAAACAATCATTAAACTTTGGTGTTATTTGTTCATTCAACTTTTTATTTATTATCACTCACTTGAAGTTCCGATAAGATACAGTACAGAGTAGTTCTGATTCAAAATTCAGAAGTTCTAAAAAAAGGCAAATATATTTTCAAAAAACTGTAAATTGGAATAGCCAGCTAACTGCTATATATTTGATTGTTCTCATATATTCAAAGCCAATAAATAACCAATAAGGCAATCTATACATTGTATTCTTTATTAAGCTTTATTATGGTCTAATGTGGTGATAAACTACCGTATAAATACTATAATTATATATGATGTTTTCCTAAAGCTCTTGACTAAATACCTTATCAAAATTTCTTAAGAAATGATAACTGTCATCCAGTAAGGTCATCTTAATGGCTTATAAGTGACTAAAGAATAAGAATATTAATAAAAGGAACCATACAATAATACTACGGTATCACAGTGGAGAAATGCAAAGTAGAATACAAGTAGTCTTGGTTTAGTAACCACTGTTGGGACTGGCATCTTATTAGTTAAGCAATGCTATCACTAAGAGATAGTGCAGCTGTGCTTATGATCTTATGCCAGCTTTCCTTCGATTTACAAACTTGCAGATGCTGAAAATATTAGGATTGTCATAAAGTTAATTTTTCATCACTGTTGGAACTGTGAATGGTTTTTAAGGAAGGAGCTGCTAAACAAGGACTACCCGTACTTCAAATATTTTCATTGCCATTAAAGGTGTGTCTATTTATGCGTGAATAATTTACTGTGGATTTAGAGGAAAATTTTTAATGTGATCATTTCTGCAGGTGACACCAGATTATTCAGGATTATCCCATCAAATAGGCAATGAATGGCCAAAGTAGTCCACTATAAATTTAAATGTAAAACATTTAACTTTTGGAGCTAAGTATTACAGCTCAATATATTCTCTAGGAAGATCAGAATTGATTGACCAGAAAAAAGACCTTGAGGTCATATCTTAAGGTGATGAAAATTCCAATTTATTCCACGCTAGGCATTATACTGGAGTGGTGACTATACTTTGGTTACAGTGTAGTGTTCTGATTATTGCATTTCAAAAAAAGATAATGTAGGGCTAGAAAAGATAAAGAAAAGTGTAGGAAAGAATAAAAGCAACTCCCAAAGGAGCAAAGGTAACAAAACGTTAAGCCTTTAAATTTAATTTAGTTTAGGCTGGAGTAGGCACAATATTTGTCATACATTGTTTGGTAAAGTGGTAGAAATAAGTTTTTCTTTGTTTTTCATTCTAGTACAGCCCAGTTTCATCCAGTAAAACTAAACAGAGGAAGATACAGAACGCCAAGAGAAAAGTACTTCCTCATGAAGCAAATAGTTAAACCAGAGATACATAGAGAGATAAGAGATAGAAAAAGAGACAGTATGTGTAAATAGGTAAATAACCTTTTAGAGATCACAACCACAGAGAAAACTATGCTTTTCAACAAATGTTACAAAAATAAAACTATGAAGACTACTTCATTTTACCTCTCGTTATTTTTGGTTTCAATCAGTCAAACTCTTTAATTTTACATGCCACAATTAATTTAATAATGTGAAATTAATGCTGTTCCATTTTAATTGAAATTAAAGCATTTGAAGGAATGATGACTAAATATGATTGGGATTCAGGTTGATATATGTTCCCTTTGAAGACCCCTGAGGCAGAAAGAGAAACCACTTCCCTTGTTAACTTCCTTAAAATCCACAAAATAAAAATCTGTTACCTGGGAGAGGGGAAGCAAAAATCAAATCTACTGTAACAAAATCGTAAACTATTGAATTCCTGGCCTGCTTCATATGCTGTTCTAGAGGGTTAACAAGGCAGAAATCTAACTGCTAGTTACGGTGATAAGTATAGAAAAAAGGAAAGGAATATAGGTTGGATAAACTATGATATTGCTTCAGAACTTTCATGAAGTCAATCCAATTCTGATATGACTGTAAGATTTAATGCAGTTCAGCAGTGTTATAGTGCAGTTATATGCATATCTACTTATCATTTCTGATAATGATGAGTCTGCGTACAGGGATGAAGTTCATCAGCTGTCCCTCTGGTGCAAAGTAAACAATCTTATTTTTAATATAAATAAGACGAAGGAATTCATAGTGGATTACAGGAAGAGCAGTTCGGATATCCAGCCGTTGTATATCGATGGTGTTTTGGTAGAACAGGTGGCAGAATGTAAGTTTTTAGGTATCACCCTGAAACAAGATCTAACATGGGGGGCAAATACTTTAGCCCTAGAAAAAAAGGCTCATCAACGACTGTATTTTTAAAGACTTTTAAGATCACAACAACTGCCAGAGAGTCTGTTGGTTGCCTTTTATCGAAGCTCTATAGAGAGCATTTTATCTTATTGCCTCTGTGTGTGGTTTAGGAGTTGTACAGAGGCGGAGAAAAGGGCACTCCAAAGAGTGATAAAAAGGGCACAAAAGATCAGCGGATGTCCTCTTCCCTCATTGGAGGATTTGTATAACATGGGATGTAGAAGGAAGATACAAAAGATCTTGAGAGACCCTTCGCATCCAGGCCACTCGTTGTTTGAGATCCTACCATCAGGAAGATGATATAGAGTGCTGAAAGCCAGGACAAGTAGATTTAAACATAGCTTTTACCCAAGTGTTGTGATCAGGTTAAATGCAGAGTTATGAATCTGGTGGTCTTAACATATATATATCCTGGTTGTACAGTTTTTAACTGTTATTTGTTTTAATTTGTTTTACATTGTTCTTTGTATATGTCTTTTGGTGTTGTTCAGTTGTATGTTGTGGAAGAGCACCTTATTTCGTTGTTCTCAGGTTTCTGAGTACAATGACAATCTATCTATATCTATCTATCTATCTATCTATCTATCTATCTATCTATCTATCTAT